GGTTGCTAATGGCTAAATTTAATCTCTTTCTTATTCACAATATAAGTACATTAAGAAAGCCCTCATTACTGAGAACAAGTCCTAGATTTTACTGTCAGAAATGTTGGAGCCAAAATCACTCTCGATTTTCAGGTTTGTGAATGATAAAAGTGTGAACTGACTGAGTCGATGTTGTTACATGAATTTTAACAGAAATAGCTACCGTAGAATACTTAGCCAATTCACAAAAAATGCTGATTTTATTGCTGTGATGTAATACTGTACATAGGTCCTTATTTTGTGACTGAGATCATATCTGTGAAAACTGAGGCTTTAAAAACAGTGTAGGAAAAATTGAGAACAACTTTCTGTTGCCTTTTTTTCTCCAGCTTTATTGAGATGTAATTGACATATAACATTGTGTAAGTTCAAGGTGTATGTGTTGATTCGATACACTTATATATTGCAAAATGATGATCACCATACCGTTAGCTAACACCTGCATCACATTACCTAATTACTATTTCTTTTTTTGTGATGAGAACATTTAAGATCTACCCTCTTAGCAACTTTCAAGTACTTTTTGTTGCCTTTTAACTAATATAATGTTGACTCTACCAAGTGGATTAACTTTGGTCTCTGAGATGCATATTTGTTCTCCTAGAAATCAAGATTGAGCATTTATCTTTGAACCCTGTCGATGTTTAGATTTAGAATATTCAAATTATTAAGCTACTGGTCCTTAAAATTTTTTTAATATAGTTTTTTGTTTTGTATAAAAGTTTGAAATTCACAGAACACCTTAGGATATTTCATTTCTTTCTTGGTTTCAGGGTTCTTAAAACTGCTTGTTTTTTTCCAATGGTAACAAAATATTAAGAAATTCTCTTACTCTTAATCATTCTTTTCCTTTCTCCTCTCTCAAATGGTATACTCCGACTGGTTAATATTATTTTGTGCATAATTAGAATGAGATTTAGGACAAAAAGATTTTTTCCTGCAGTTTGGTAGAAATTCTGGGTTTTATGTTCCATTATTGGAAATTCCTTCTTTGACTTTGAGTAAATTAGGAATTCCCTTTGGACTGTTTCCTCATCTGTGACATGAGAGATTGGACCACTGTGTCTCTAGGGCCCTCTCAGCATTAGAACTTTATGAATCTATGACAATTCAAAGTCACTGAAATTCATTAGAAGCTTTATGTAGGAATGTAGAGAAACTAAAGAAGACCCCAAATTTATTGCTAAGAATATATAAAGTGATTGTAAGATCTACTGCTGATTCTAGAAATTTTTTCGTAAATCAGAAAGGACTGCCATTTTCTTCATTTAATAATTCTTGACTCTAAAGAAGAGGAGTTAAATATTGCAAAATTTTTTATTAAATCTATAGCTCCTGAAGGAAAAACTGGTTTTTGAGTTGTTCATTTTGTATTCCATTCCAATATTATACATGTGAAATCACCATGAATTTGTAGCCAGAATGTTTCCAGTGTTTAACAATCTCTGATTTCCTTCAGCTTCTGACTTGGCAGAAATACTCAACAAGTTCTGCAAAGAATATACAAAATATAATAAGAAACTGTATGTTTTTATTTTCCTGTCTTCTTTCTCTGACTTGCGTTTTCTCCATTGAGGACGTTTCCTGGCTCTAGTGTGTCAAAATGTAGCTTAGGGGTCACACCCGTGGTCTCAAAGTTCCTGAAATATCCTGTTGACAGTACAGAGCTGTAGCAACTGGGCCTTATATCCAGGAATCATCACAGTACCTGCCTATTTTAAGAGATTAATTTTTAGTGGTTTTTTTAAGTCAATTAGCAAATACCAACTGAATATTCCAATAAAATACTGTTAGCTAAAGAGAGGGCTTAATATAAATGAGTTATCTACTTCTCACTGGGCAGTGGTTCTCCATCTTGGCTGCCATCAGAATCGTTCTGAGGATCTCTAGAAACCCTCACTGCCAGGCTGCACCTCGGGCCGGTGAGAGCAGTGGCCTGGGCTGGAGCTCAGGCATCAGTAGTGTTGAAAGATGCCCAGGTGATTCTAGTATGTAGCCAAGGTTAGAGCCTCTCATCTAGGGTTCTTAGTTTGTTTGAAATATCACAATAATTTGGTTGTTAGAGGACCACCCCCTAATGTCTAAAACCACTGGACTTTTGGATAGCAAAGTGTGGTGGAGACGGCCTTGCAGGGTGAGTCAGGATCAAGTTGGAAGTCTGCCTCTATCAACACCAGTTATGTTAACTTGGATAGACGTTTTACTCTGGTCTGCAGTTTCATTCCAGCTTTAGCATTAATCTTTAACACTTAATAGCACTTTAGCAATTTTCTAGTATTTTCTATATCACATGAAGTAGTCAATAGGTTCAAAATTTCAACCTAGTTGTTTTGATTCAAGTTGCCCTGTGATGGAGAGACCTTTAGTTTGATATTCACCTAATGACTTACCACTGAGAAGATTTGGATTTTATGAATTTGAAATTCAATGGGGTGATGTTAATATTTCTGTTATCTAAGAAGTAAGAGATTTCTAAGGAAATCGGTAGCACAAGCCTTGTTCATGCATCCTGAGTAACGTTAAGCCTACTTAAGAAAACAAACTCTTTTGACAACTTTGTTACATAGGTGGGCATCCTCGTTACAAATGAGTCTTACACATTCTTGAAAGCAGATTTGGAAACTCAGAGGTAGTGATGGGGAGAGCCTGAGACAGGAGGCAGAGGATTTGGGCACTTATCTGGATTTTGCCATTTATTAGCAGTTTAATTATGGGCAAGTCACTTAATCTCTGAGTCTTAATTTCCTCATCTGTGAAATGGGAATAATAGTATCTACCCTAATTAGTCCACAGGGTGCTTATGAGGCTCAGATTAGATCATTCATTTATTCAACAAATAGATGATTCACCAAGTGCCTGTTACTTGCCGGGCAGCACTCTAGATGTGAATGATATAAAGAAGGAAAATACATCTTGGAAGGAGTTAGCCAATATATTAGTCACTGCTCACATTTAAAAAAATTATTATATTGTAGGCCCTTTGAAGAGGGCTTGCTTTTTCATCTCCATGTTTTCATGTCTCAATACCTGGCATGTAACATAGAAGGGGCTAAAATATTGGTTATATGAATGAATGAATCACATAATTCATTTCCTTGAAAATATTTTGTCACTCTATACTGTGGCTCCCTTGAACAAGTTGAAATGAGTAAAGTGTGGAGGTGGTTTCATTTCCCTGCTGGTTTCATGTTCCACCTGAACTTGGACATAGTAGTCTAACCTGAGATCCTTTAAAACCACAGCAATGGTTAATTTTTTAGTTGAAGTTTAATTCAATTTAGGTTAGTATTCCCTTTTTTCCAATTACCATTTCAACAACATCAGGAGTACCTGTTTTTGGCTGATGTCCTTTTCATGTTTGGTATTAATCTGAACTCCAGTATTTCTTTTGGAAAGGAGGATAAATTCTTTCCTTGACATCCCTTTTTTCCATTAAGTTAAAAAAAAGTCACTTCATAAATATGATTTCAAACAGCTGGATTTTAATCCTTCCACCTTATGGGAAGAGAGAGTTTGGCTTCAGCAACACTCCTACCACATGGCCTGGATCACATTCAGCACACAGATATTTTAACCTGGACAGTGCAGCCAGTGACGAACTTGTGGTTGTGCATTTGGGTTGTATTCACATGTTATTCTAAACTAGGTCAGGGGCTGTGGTTGGTCTCTTTTTCTTTACTCGTTTAGGAGAATGTGAACAAATGGAGAATTGTGATATCCCTTTCATACTGGGTCACAGAAATACTTTGAGGATGGAAGTTCTGTCTCTTTACGACAGGCAAGGGGTTATTTTCTTCGCAGTTGCATGTGTTGTTAGTGTTCTGGAGGAGGCCTCAGTGTGCTGATGCCCAGAGTTTCATTTGAATAATGGAATTTTAGAGTGGAAAGGACCTTGGACTTGCTCTAGGCCTTCCACTCATATTCTAGACAGAAAAAATTGAGGAGAAATGAGGTGGCTGGGATAGTCAGCATCAGTGGGAGTTCTGGGACCCTTTTCCTGAGGTTTTCTACCAGCTGCCCACTGAGTGGGAAAATCCTGGCAGCTTCTGTGGGTGCTCTTAGGAGAAAGCTCATAGTCAGAATGCAAGGTGACATTCAATGTAAGATATATGTAGATTTTATGTGCCCATGTGTATGTAATTGTATAATTTCCTTTATCCTTAATTGCTTAAATTGATAGTATTGTGTTAAGTTTGCAAATTTATTTTAGAGTCTTATAAAAATAAATTCCGTTTTCAAATATTGGTTTGTACAGATTTCTGGGATCCCATGTTCAGTGTGGCATATAGAGATTTGGATTGGGCTCTGTCCTATTCTTTAAGTCACTCATATGGCACTTGGCATGGATGCTTCTCAGGTAGCAGAGAGCACACACTATTTTCCCATGTTTTATATTACAAAGTCAGTGCTACCCCTGACTGGTATTAAACCTGGTTTTCCTTAGGCATGAGATGAATGAACACCAGAGGGGTTAAATATTTTGCCCAGAGCTTTACAACATCTAGTGACAAGTTGGAAGTAACACATATGAGCCTCCTTTTGTCAAGCCTGAGCTCCCAAGTTCTGCTGTAGCCCCAATTACTACTGCACAGGCTCTTCTCATCCTTGGAGGCATGGAAAATAGCCAAGGACTTTTTTCAAGCAAAATATAAGCCCTATAGCTATGACTTTTGCTGGGCAGGTCATGGAGAGAAAGCGCCTGTGTTACCCTTTTTGTGGGTTAGAGATGTGGGAAGAGTAAGGTGTGGCAGGCCCCAGAGTACCCCAGGGGCCCTGTCCTGTGCATTTCATAGAAGGAAGGCCTTTACCAAGATAGCCTTCCTCTGAGTTCAATTTCCTGGGCTCTCCAGAGAGACTGAGTTCTCAAACTATCATGGCATGCAAATGGGGAAGAAAAAAATAACAGCTCAAGAGTGTCAAACTTGCATTGACTACTTCATGCTTTATATTGTGCTTTTCAGAGTGCAAATTCACCTGCACCAGCGGTAAATGCTTGTATCTTGGTTCATTGGTCTGTAACCAACAGAATGACTGTGGGGACAACAGTGATGAAGAAAACTGTCTCCTGGTGACTGAACACCCACCTCCAGGCATCTTCAACTGTAAGTCCCTCCTACTTACTTTGGCATCAAGTCTAATTGCATTTTTGAAATGGTAGGAGGTAAGGTCACGGGGAAACGGGAAGGATACTGTTCTTTGGAAAAGAAAAGACATATGCATTTTCACAAAAGTGTTTTCTTCTTTTAGGATAGAAAGCTGGTGTGTCTAAAAGTGGGAAATTTATTCTGTTTTCAAAGATGGCTAGTGGCACTGTGTTTTGGAATAAGCTTTTGCTACTTATCTTAGAAGCACTGATTGGATTCCGAGAAATAATATATTGATTTCATATTCTTCATACCAGTTTTGTAGAATTTTTAGAGTAATTTTAAATAAAAATCTTTAATTAAAAAAGTTAAAGATGTGGAGAGTTCATAATTGTTTAATTAAAATAGGAAAGAAATTTGTATGGGACTTTTAAAAAAGGTTCTGATCACGTATTTTTCTATTTGATACTGGATAGAAAATAAGTTAAGTGAGGTGTTTACATGTGTGAATCCCAAGGCTGAGGCTTTGAGCATTTCTTGAACTTGAAACAGGTAGAATCAGAGCTTGAAGTTCACTGATTTTTGATCTCACGGTTTTTATGAAGAGGAAAGGGAAGGGAGGCAGCTTTGCAATACTGCGGAACTTCTCTTAGGAAACGTGGCTTGTTGTTCCCTGTGTTTCCTTGGGCTGAGTAAGTGGGTTGAGGATGAGAGTGCTTTTACAGTAGTGCGTGCTGGAGGGATGTTTGCAGCCCTGACCCTCTTTGTGGGGTCTTCTTACTGAGGTCACTTCATGAAACATTCAGCTTCTCTCCCCACTTTTACTGACATTATTTTGAGGAATTATATTTGTTTTTACTTACAGGTTTTTAAATTTTTGTTATGGAAATCAGACTATGTAAATACTGATACTGTAATGTGAAACATGAGGAGATTTTTAAAAAGAAACCATTTTCTCTATTCCTACTGTATTTTTATAAGGGGGAAAGCTTAGAAAATGACTGTGCCTAGCAAATTTTAAGCCTGCTCTTTAGGCTTGCTAAATTCAAGAGTCTAACAGTGCAGTAGTTTTCCTGAAGTTTTTCTGTTGTGTCAATTTGTATTTCCTTATATTTTGCATTCTTAGAGTCCCATCTCTGTACTTTGAGAAGACAGTTTAAGGTTAGGACTGTGCTTTCTTGGTGTTTGGTTTGTGTGTTTCCTCTGGTGATGTTTTGTGCAGTGGCCTGTGGTCTTCAACACTGTAGTTTGCATACTGCAGCTTTCCTGGACGTAGGCAAGGGGTCCCTGAAGTGAATTGTCCTTCCTGCTCTGAGCCTGACTGCTGGTTCGGGATCCTGGCCCTGACACTTACCCAACACTTGGGCAGCTCTGTGCCCTCATCTGCACAATGGGGCGTGAGTATCCTAAGGATTGAGGGGGATGGTCCACATAAAGCTCGTAGAACAGAATCTTAAGCACTTGATGTATGTCCTCTAGTCTCTGCCAGGGCGTCTTGGGAGGAGAAGAGCATATAAAGGCAATTTCTTATTTTGTTTTCTCTAGACTTGAGTAACAGCAAACACATACATGATAAACTGCGGAAAGAATATCGTGATCTTGTGTGGTACCTTGACTGGATTTGAGAGTGCTGTGTGAAAAGCAGGCAGACTAACCCTTGGCCCTCTGCCCTGGGGCACTTCACAGGCTGTTTCTGGGTCTCTTGAAGGTGCCTCTTCACTTCAGGGCTCTTTCACTGCAGTCTTCCTTCCGTGTTGAACCCTCTTCCCGTCCCACCTCTCTCCCTTTCTCATTCTTTCCTGGTTTTTAAAATCTATTTCCAAATATCCTATCCATTCATTTTTAAAAATGTGAACACTTTAATTTTGCTTAGAAGCTAGGTGAAGCAGTTATATCTATAAATGGCTCAGCGTTGCCCAGGCAGCTACAAGAGTTTTGCTCTAACAGAGGAATCCTAAGATCCTGTTGGCAAACTGTTGGTTCCTACTGTTCAGATATAGCTAGAAATCGTTATGTCCTAATAGCTAAAATGGGAGATTATTTACAATGTACTCTTTTAAGAGACTTGAGAGCCAAGAGACAGAATAATAAAGGGCAAGACCATGGCTGTGGCTTCAGGTTAACTTGGGTTCAGGTTCCAGCTTAAGGAAGTGGCTGAACCCTTTTAAAGTTTAGTTTCTCTATCAGTGTAATGGGAATAATTTCTGCCATATAAGATTGCTATGAGGATTTAAATGAAATAATGTACATGAAAACGTAGCCTAGATAATTGCATCATGACTGTCATCATCCCCAGTCATTGTGTGGCCATTTGTTGGAGAGGTGGACCATCCTGACTTTGTATCATCTACTTTTGAATGCCAGAGCCTCTCTTTGTATGTAAGAGGAATTTCCAGCTGTTTAAAGGTGAGTTCATCCCCACAAGTTCTGGATGTTTCCCACCTACTCTGTCCCCTGGGGAGGACCTTCTAGGGAAGCCTGCCAGCTGAAGGTGGCTTGCTGTGATCTGGCTAGCAGCCCCTTTACACTGCTTTCCCCTGGTTCTCTGCAAGCACCAGAGGGAGCCAGGTCCATTTGTCCCTTTGGGACAATTGCTCTGAATTTGTTTTATCTGGTCTGTTCTTTATGGTCAGGAGCCTTTGGGAAAGGTTGTAGCTCCCCTGCTCTTTGTTGATGCTAGAGGATGATCTGATAAGGAAAGGGATATTTTTTTCCCCATACCTTATCAGGCAAGAGTATAGAGTAAAGAAAGGATATTTTACTTCCAATTAATAGCTGTGTAACAAGGCTTAGAGGTTCTCCATTTGTAAGCGGGTTTTAATGAATTTACCAGTGCATTTCCTACAAGCAGGTGGACAATATGCTGCTCTGCACAGAGTGCTAACTCTGATGATTAGGCTCCCCTTTCCACCTTAAGAACTTGAAATATTACAGGAATTCTTGTGTATAAAATGTTACATTCCAGAAGAACAAATAGTGCCTCCTCCTTGTTCTTCCCGGCCTGGTGGCACGGTGGTTAAGTTTGCACATTCCGCTTTGGTGGCCTGGGGTTCACCGGTTCAGATCCCGGGTGTGGACCTACACACTGCTCATCAAGTCATGCTGTGGTGGCATCCCACATATAAAGCAGAGGAAGATGAGCAGGGATGTTAGCTCAGGGCCAATCTTCCTCAGCAAAAGGAGGAGGATTGATGGCAGATATTAATTCAAGGCTAATCTTCCTCAAAAAAAAAAAAAAAAGAACACGATTTATTTACTGAATTTGCTTTGTTCCTGCCTGGAGGAAACATTCAGTGTTTTGCTATTTGATTGTGCTTAGGGTAAAGCAAGGTAGAATCTTTTGGATTTCCAGATGAGCTCAAATCAGTTTTCTGCCTATTTTGTTGGCTGTGGTCATGCACCATGGCTCAGATGTCGTGGGTCATCTCTGTCTCTCTAGAATTTAGCCTGAATTAAGGTTAGAAAGAAAATGTAACTGTCGTTTGTGAAGTCAGCAATGATAATGATAATGGAAGCCCTGTTTACAGTAGCTGTAAATAATTTTTCTCTTCAAAAAAGGTTTTTGGAACACTGAGTAATTTCACCTGCTTTTCTACTTTGCTAACTGTGGTCAGGCTATCCATTGACTGAAGCTAGTTTATTTTTCTGTGAGCTCCAAAGGGTTTTGCACAGATGTGGAGGACTGGGCTGGTGTTGATTGTCTCATAGGGAAAGAGTTTTGCTGGACACATCTTTTTGCAGAAGAGGGAAAATGCTGTCAGCCCGAATTGCCAACTTTTCTCATGTTTTTTCTCTTGTCTGCTCCATCAAAATATTGTACTCCTGAGCACTAAAACTAAAAATTATACAAATAAAATTATTTATTATGTATAAAAATAAAATTATTTTATGCAAATTATTATATTTACAAATAAAATTGTTAAATACCTTCTTTGGTCATTGTTCCAGGCATTGTGGAAGATGAATGAAAACATAGATCCCATTATCAAGGATAACAGTCAAGTGCTGATAGGCAAGTTGGGAAGCTGAGAAGATTTCCAGACAGATAACTGAAAATGAACACAGGGTAGTGAGAACTAAGCGGTTTCAACAATTTGTGGTTCAGGAGTTTACAGAGAATCATTCTGGTAGCTTCATGGAGGAGGCGTGCTGAGTGGCATGGAGAGGACAGAGTGTCTGGGCTGAGAATAACATGAGCATGGGGAGAGTGAAGGTGGACTTCCTGATCTGACAGAAGGTCTGGGCTGAGGGTAGCCTGAGATAGAGTTGGAAAGGTGAGTTGGGCCCATAGAGAAAAGCCGGTAAACCATGCTATGCCTTCTGCTCTTGTCTCTAAAAAGAGACTGCCTGTGGGTCTGCTGGGCATGTGTAGGGGAGAGCTGCACTGCCTGCCTGTTGCCCTGGTTGATGCTGGCATCACCACTCCCACACTTTCACTCAGTGAACCCTCTGCTTCACCATTCCTACCAAGCTGCATGTTTTCTGTAACACTACATTTTCAAAGCCCCTTTGCCACATTTTGTTGGGGGAGAGCAGAGTTCCTTTGACTTCCCAGAAGCAATAATTGAGTAGCCTTGGAAAGAGCTGTGTTCTTTGAAAGTGTTGGCAAGAATAGACCTTCCTTAAGCAATCACTACTAAGGAATTCATGCCACTAGACTTTAAGAGTAAGACCAAAGTTGACATGGAGCCAGTCATTGATCGGAACAACTTTCACTTTGAGCTTCAGTGGAATTTCCAATTAACTGAGAGGATCTGATTCAGGGAAAGTGGAGAGTGGAGGAACTCCCATCCCTACTGGAGGGAGAAGTTGCTTCTTTCTCCATAGGTGGCCTCTTAAACTGAATCTCAAAATCAAATGAACTGAAGCTAATAAAGTGTACCCAATTAAGCCAGAACTTTAATTTCAGGACTTTTTCAGAAGGAAACTTTTTTTTTTGTCCAAGGCCATTTAGGGTAATAACAACCAAATAAGATAAAATTCAGCATATTAAAATCTGAGCTGAATGTCCTTCTTCC